ATGATTATGGAATACAATGTACAGTAAGATTTTAATACCGTAAACAGTGGTTACTTTGGACACATTTGAACTACTTAAAGATTTATTTTGATGTAAAGCCCGTCACGTAAAATGGGGTTGCTTTGGCCCACTTTTCATCTTTGAACGCATGTATCACCAACACTAATTGAGATAGAATCAATGTTAAGCACTTAAAACATGTGTCAGTATTTGAGATGTTTGCATACCAGAGGAGAACATAGTACACTGATAACTTATACATTTGTTTTTTAGTTGTTGGTGGGCCAAAGTTGTACAATGGTTGGGGTAACTTAAACCCTTACTCTTATTTTAGTAGTAAAGTTTATTTTAAACCCGTTATGGGTTTTCATTAGCCCTCAGATATGTTTTTAAAAAATAACTGAACAGTCTTGTATTAAATTCACATTAAAATTGTGTTAAAAATCTAACAAAAATATGACAAAACACTACTCGAGCGATTATATTTTTGTTTCAATTGACAGAATAACCTAGTTGTCAGAACTTACTGAACAAAGAATAACATTTTTATAAGATTTAACATCCACTTCAAACTTTAAAATCAGAATTGAAAACATGAACACGGAAAAGTTGATAATTTGATGCAATTTCCATAACCTTTATTCACCCCATTCCTCTTTGAGTCGACCATTCTCTATTTTGCAAACGCCTCTGGTATTATGTAAAACACAGCATTGTTTGGAACTTTACACAGCATGATATCTTGCCTTTCTGGCCATTTCCATCCAATTTCTTAAACATTTAAAGGAATTGAGTACTATAAAAATGCATCTTCTTATAAAAAGTTTTTTGTTACATTAAAAGGGTATTTAAAAATAAAAAATTTTGAACACAAATATAGTTAGAAAAAAAGATTTTAAAAATCCGATGTAATTAACTGGAGGCCGCCATTACTTATATTGGAACTCTTTCACTGAAAACCACAAATGGTACCAGATCAATTCGTGACGTCACAGTAGAACAACCACGGTACCAAGTTACAAGCTTGGCGTCTTTATACACAATGTCGAAGTTTTACCGTACCAATTTGAACCCGAATATGACACAGATGAAATATCTTCTACATCTGATGAATCTGAATTATCAACTCAGGAAGAAGTTCATCGTTTGATATCAGCTGATTGGTGTCAGTGCGAGAATTGTCGCGTATTACCAACAGTGGTGGAATGTATTTGCTGCCATGAAGTAGATGCTGCCCAACATCGGATGGAGGATGGCTACAAATGTGTGACCGATAATCCCTATTTTGGGAGTATTTGTTTGGAAGTAGAAGTGTTAAAAGTAGCGGCAATAGCAAGAGCCGATTTTCGTCAAGATATTTTACAAGAACTAATTCCAAACGAGTAAGTATATAAAAAAATTTATCGGCATTAATCCTATGGTGACCTTGACAAAGAGCCAACCAAATCGCGAGAAGTAAATTATGAAAACGAAAGTAGATAAGATAAAATGAATTACAAAACAAAGTCCTTGCTAATGTTTTTTTAATGGTCAAGTTTTTTTTAAAGAAAAAAAACAGCCAAAGAAAGGCTATAATACTAAAAAGGTAAGTAGCTTTGTCCAGCTGATATTGCAAGTAGTATTGAAAACAATTTTTGGTTTTAAAAGTGATATTAGTTTCAATGAATGTAATTTCAGGAATAGTGAGAAGTGGATAAGGCTAATAGAATTTTTAAAATAATTTTTTTTTTAAAACAATGTGACCAAAATTGATTCAGCTCATGTAACTAATAAACCTGTTATTTATATTTTCAGAGTTCTGCGTCATCAAGCTTATAGACAGTTTATTTACTGGATCCATCAAAGACTTGGTAAAAACCATCGACGAGTTATTCCAGCCTGTGCCGTTTGGAAAATAAGGGATGCTTTTCCACCAGAATCTGGACAATATACTGGATTTAAGTGTAGTGCCTGAAAAATATAATAAATGGAATTGTTAACAAACTATGATAATAATATGTGACTAAAACTTTGAGGAACAAATATTTTAATTTATCCACTTTTTATTACCATTTAACAATTATTTAATGTTATGTCATGTAATTGGTTTTAACTAATTGATTTTTTTTTTGAAAGCATGCATGCATACACATATAATTATACATAATAAAAAAGTTTTCATACCTTACTGATTTTGACATTCTTGATCTATGGGGCAATTCCATAGTGACGGACGTACAATTTGCACAGTAATCCCTTCCATTGGAATCAATAGGTAAAAAAAACTTCAACTAGTTGGTGTCTGCTATGAAGATGCCCACCTTCTAGTTATCAAAGGACAGACAGATATCGGTTTTCATTCTTGGTTACAAGTTAGGACCCACCTGACGGACGTACTCAGAAAAAACTGAAAATCAATTTCAAAAGTTTTAGATACAAATTTCTCTGATTTGGAAGATATTTGGTGAATGAAAGATTATTAAATTTATTCTAGTATGTTACATGTACACAGTAAGTTGTTTTGATTCAAATATTCTGAAAAGAAAATTTGTGGTATAGGTAAACACTATGTGACGGATGTACAAAATTTAGTGACGGACGTACGCATGTGAAAAATTAAGGAAAAGACGACCTGATTCCATATGAATTTAAAAGTAATTTTATAACTGTAACATTACATTTTATTTTAAATTCAATCAACATATTTAAAACATCTCATATCTATTTTATCAATAGACTACAGCCAGTATAACAATAATTTAAAGGGACGATGCGTAAAATTATAACTTGATTTTAAGATTTTAAAACTCTTTTATTTTGATTAGGTAGCCCTGAAAAGGGCTGTTTTTTTTTAAACACTCCTTTAGAAGAGTCTTCGACGAACTCTGTGACGGAGCCTCTGACGGATGCTGGCTAACAGCTCGGGAGTGATTCTCCGCCTTCGAGGCGTCTCGTTCACCGCCGACTCTTCCAAAAGGTAGATGTCATCGGTTGTGATGATGACAGTTTTACCATTGCGGGTAAATATTTTAACAGGACTGTCATCTACTTCCATAAGTTTCACAACAATCATAGGTTGGGCTGCCATGGTGCAAATGAATGGCCAAAGAGGTTGGTTGGTAGATGACAAGTTAACGTTCGCTTCCAGCGGATGCTGATATCGCAAACTAGGTAGTTGTTGGTAGTCGTAGTAGTTGGTAGTTGGATTGGATCAAATTGGATGATTCGGTGTTGTTGGTTTGGTTGTTGATTCTTCGTTAGATCTGGTCGGGTCGAATGACATGGCGGTGAAACTCGGCCCTGGATGGTGTGGCGTGAGTTACTCGGTCTCCTTCATTCTTCCAAACTCGTTCTGATCATGGTATTTCTTGTTGATTGGTAGTCGAATGGTAGTCGTTGGTTTGGTTTGGTTTGGTTAGATTATCTGTTATCTGTGGGAAACTCGAAGACCTGAAAAAAAAAA